TTTTTTTTTTTTTTTTTTGTAATATTGATGGCTGACGTGGATGGTTTATAATTATTTATAATTTTATAAATATTTAATTATAATAAAATTTTATATAAAATTCATTATTTATAAATATAATTTTAATAAATTTCACGTAATTTTAAATTATAATTAATTAATTAAGTATATTATAATAATTATAAATGAAATGCTTTTACTAACCCATTGGAGAAGTAGTAAACTCTATGTTTGACTTTAATTTTCACTGGCAGAATTTACCAAGTGAAAATTTTTTTTTTCAAATATTTGGGAAAGCATGAATTCAAATAAGAAAAAGAAATCATGGAAAAGAAAGTATGGAAGAGAGGAAAAAAATATGTAGTCGAAAATTTGAAGCATATTAACAGAAGAAGAAAACGGTGAAGCTAAAATGTAGTTCGTGTTTGATGACGTGTAATGTTTTAGAGCCGTAGATCTTAAATTTAACGAGGTGGCACCCCGTCAAGCCATAAAGTTGTAAACCGCCCTCTGCCCCTCTCTAGTAGAGAAGCCAATAGGAGAGAACAGGGTAGCCCGTTCCACGTAATTTTGCACTTGTACATTGTTTTTATAGCTTGCCAGCGCAAGTCATAAATTAATTAGCTTTAATTAGGATCCTTATACTGTTAAATTATAATTTTAAATTTATTAAATATAAATTTTTATAAATAATTATATAAAATAATATAATTAAATTTTAAAGTTTTATTTTTTAATAATTGACTTGCATGAAATTGACAACTGATAATTAAAGTACGAGATGACATAATATCATATTTACATGGGAATTTCATTATTGATGTTAACTTTAAACAATTTGAGTAGAAAGATTAATTTATGCTAATTGAGATTAAGCACAGTTGGCAAGATCACGAAAGCCTATGCCTAAGTTGGCTAAGAAAACCAAATTCATAAATTTATTTCTGAATTATTGTTTAAGAGTTTAGCCGTATACGAAGGTTTTAGACTTAGGATTATCGCAGACAACTTGACCATGGTGCCTTGTTTTCGCTTTTGTTTAAACAGCAAAGAGAAGAAAATCTTGACCAAATTTTCTTGATGTCAGTTTGGGACTACGGCTGAAATTGCACCGAACATTAATTCAAAGGTGGGTATCATATCTCCATCCCTTTTACAAATAATAAAAAAAAAAAGTAATATGGCGGAAATTTGTTGTAAATAAAAAGGAAATATAGTTACGAAATTTATGGCATTTTTTCATGTAACCTTTATAACTATATGGCTGGAAAGTGGAAATAAATATTGTTTGAATGACTTGGACTTGATGAGTTACAACTTGCAAGGGATATACTTTATAAGGAAAAAGGGCAACAAAACCTAAAAGCAAGGCGTAGAGGAAATTGCCAAGCAGCTAGCCTTAAACATGACGTAAAATTTATTAGAATGATCTGCAGTTTTGCAACTACATCTTCTACGCTGATATTATTATTATTATTATTATTGAATAAGTCGAATCACAAACATAACGAAGGATGAAACCAGGAGTCAGTGAAGGAACGTCGACCCTCCAGGCGAAGAAGTGAACGACCTCCAAGGTTGGGATGGACCCCACTCCAGGATAGGATCTTAACAGGTGTAAGGATCACATGGTGGGTGGACCCCACCAAACAAGAATATACCGAGTACCAATTCCCATCAAGATGTGGGCCATCACACGTGTAAGAATCACGTGGTGCCATGTTTTGTCAGTTAAGTTTTGTTCAAAGGACTTTTTTAGTTTTTTCCCCTGAAAAACTACAGTGCTCAGAGCAGAGAAGGGAAAAAAAACAGTAGGGCTGTAGGGGCCCCTATATTTTTAATATAAAGTGTCTTTTTTTCCCCTGAACTGTGACTGTGAGGATTACAAGGCAAAAGGCCGTTACTAACGGCAGTTTTCCGCCTTTGATTTTCCGTTAACAACATGCGGTCCAAGGTTGGGGGACCGTCTGACGGAGACGGCCGGCCGTTATAAAAGTAATTGAGTATTGCTAGTTTGCTGTGAGCATAAAAGTAGATTATATTTTTTTATAAAGTGGGTGAGAATAAAAAAATTAAAATTTATGACGTATTATTTTTTAAAAATAATTATATAAATTAATTAAATTATATTATGAATTTTAAAAAGGTAAATATAGTTATTATTGACATTTAATCAACATAAATAGTCGACCAATCTTAAGTATGTAGGATTTTGATTGTGGCCAACAAACGGCACTTAACTGTGGGGGAATTGGGGGGTAAACAAAACGAAGGTAGACAACATGCACATGCATTTCTCTAATCACGAATTGCAATCATGAAAAGATTGGCTAGCAAACTCTGTCGTCAATCGTCAGATAGTGGTAGAAATTATTGAAAAGATTGGCTATTTTGAGCTAAACAGCGGTCATATCTTGTTAAAAAGCTTCAGATATCAGCTTGAAATTGTCTGAGTTCAAGGTGGGGTGACAGCCCATAACTTTGGTTTGTTTCACAATCATTCGGAACATCAAATCTTTGTGAAAACTTAAGTCTAGAGGAGCCCCCTTTGATGAAATAATTTCTACTTATATAATTTTCCTTAGTTTACACTTTTTCTTTTAGCATTTGAGATCAATTAAGATTAAATTTCATTATTGACACTACAAATTCAATGATCATATTATTATTGACAAGTTCACACTCCTTTTTCGCTAAATGCCTTCACACTTCTCTTTGTTTTTGTTAATTTTTTTTTTCACTTGCCAAATTTTTTATGCCACGTATTTGTTTCAAGTGATTAGAGCTTAAATATAATAATTCATTTTTTATTAATTTGAATTTATAGACAATCATCATTTAATTTAATATGATATAAAATTTATGGAATTCAAATTTTAAAAACCATTTTTTAAATGATATTATATATCATAGCTCATTACACTGTGCAATGCTTGTTTGATATTTCTTTAATTCACACCTTTCTATCCACATTTAGGTCCACATGCAAGTTTATTAATCATTTATTTGATTCGCTCATGAAAAGAAGTGCGATAATTTAAATATAAGGGGGTTAAGGTACAATTTCAAAAGTTTAAATTTACTATTAATTTTTCAAATAATACAATTTTGTCATTATATTTTTAACTTTTCGTAGTTAGAGTCAAAGTGTTGTGGTAAATTTTTTTTTTTTTTAAATTAAAGATAAATTGATAAAATTATATTACTCAAATAAATAAAATGATAAATTTGTATCTTATTCTTAAATACAATAATTAAACTTTTTCTATTAACTTAATTTTTAAAACAATCAACCATCCAATTTAAATATAATTAAAAAAATTTAGGGTTTCTGAAAACACGTAGTTTCACTTGGAATTTATGGGGATAGTTTATCTATTGATTTAACACAATTAAAACGAATTGTTTTTTCTTATTATATTATAGTATTTTTATTTTTTGGTTGAGCAAGTTGGCATGCACCCTCTCGTTGCGGCCATCATGCATGCACCACGATGTTTGTAGTCTATGGCAGCGGAATGATTACTCCATTGATCTACTTGAAAATCGAAACTTGATTTTGTATAAATAAACAAAAAAGCAGGTCAACTATATTAACCAAAGACCAAATATCAACCCTTAAGCCACAAGTTTTGCCTGATCAGCTGAGCTGTTCTGAATTTTTTGACCTTCCGTAAGTTTGCTACAATATTGTACTACTAAAACACACACAAAGAAAACATGTTCCTCGCTGTGGTTTTATCTTAGACCACGATCTCAACCCAAAAATGGAGAGATTGAACCATTTTATTATGCTTATGCTTATAAATGTTACTAAAACATGTTGTGTTTGACTTAATAATAAATAAATGCATTTTTTTTTATAAAAATAGTAATTCAGGTTAAAGTTTAAAGAGTTTTTGATCCAATTTATTTATTATTAAGATTAGTATTGATTTTACTCGTTGCCACTGTCATAATGGATAGAGTATTTTTAGCAATATATATTTTGAAAACTCTCATTTAAATAATCAAATAAACTCTCATTTATAATTATTTAATATGATTTTTTTAAATTTTATGAATTAATTAAATTAAACTACAAATTAAAATTTTTTCTTCATCAAAATGAAAAACAAAAAGAAAAACTCTAATATATTTATATGGTATTAAACAATGCATAGAGAATAAGATCATTGAAATTATATATGCTTGTTAATTTAGCTTAGCAAAATTATATGGTAATTATATATATATAAATGTTTTCAAGAGCATAGTTATCCTAATCCTTCAAATGAAGGATTTATATATGACAGATAAGTTGTATGGAAATTCATGCTATTCTTTTAGGATCTAAAACAATTGTGTGAGAATATGTTGAGAATAATTCTTCTAATGGATATATCATTATCAATCATAAAACTCAATATAGCCCCCAAAACTACACTTTTTAAAATTCAACTCTAGACTTTCCTAATATTTAATTCTAGCATTACTTTTAATTTATTTACAATTAAGTTATAAGCTTATGCTACTAAACTGGTCCTAAGCTGCAAATTGTAATTATCTTTTATGGTAAAGGAGCGCTACAAAATTTAAGATTTGATTTGGATACATGATCAAAATCCTTTTATTGCATCAGAATATACATTTATGTAAATTTTTAAAAATTTAATCATAAAATGCATATTTTATAAATATAAATTAAATGCACATTTATATATATAAACTTTTAAAAATTCAATAAGAAAATGTATATGGGTTAGAGAGGGCATTATAAAGAAGGCAGTAACTTTCCTGATCCATGATACGGTAAGTGGTTCATCCCAGTAACCAAACAGATATTCAGCCGTAAAATATATTTAACTAGGAAAAAGCTTTAGCTATAAAAAGTAAAAAATTAATTGAAGTGGTGATGACAATTTAGCGGGCCCCGCTGCAGTTGTACTGCATTTGTAAAAAAAATATTTAAAAGAAAATCTCATTGTCAATGATAATTAAAAAAATTAAAAAAAGGGGCAAAAATCTATTGTTTTCATCTTATCTGTTTGAGCCATAGTTGTTGTAGTTAGCCCTGGCTGTGTGGTTCATTGGAGGTCGCGCCCCATCACGAGCGTTTTTGCTATTTTTTTTTCTTTTGATTCTTTTAATTTTTATTTTGTGTTTATTAAGTATTATTTTTATCTTCCGTGTGTGATGAAGTGGGAGTAGTAGTGAAAAACCAAGCAAAACCCCCAATCCCCAATGCTCAGATTCTTTGCCCATTCATCTCTTTTCTTTGGTTTTTGAGCATCTCCACAAAAATTCATAGATACTCTCACACCCAGTGCAAAGAAAAAATTAGCCCCAAAATTAGAGAACTTGGAAGAAGATCAGAAAATTAACAACCATGAAAAGAGGCCACCACCATCTCCGTCCCAACCCAGACCCATTCACTGTCGGTAACTCATCCCTCTGCGGTGGTTCTACAACCGGAAAAGCCAAGATGTGGGAGGAAGAAGCCGTCCAACAAGACTGTGGAATGGATGAGCTTTTGGCAGCTCTGGGTTACAAGGTTAAAACTTCAGACATGGCAGAAGTGGCTCAAAAGCTTGAGCAGTTAGAGGAAGTTATGTGTAATGTTCAAGATGATGGGATTTCACAACTTGCTTCTGAAACTGTTCATTATAATCCTTCCGATCTATCCACTTGGCTCGAAAGCATGCTCTCTGAGCTTAACCCTCCCCCCACTTTTGATCCTGTTGTCGCTGCTGGAACGGCGGCGGCTGCGGCGGCTACGTTAGATGATTCATTTTTTGGCCCGGCTGAGTCTTCAACTTTAACGACCTTGGATTTCGACAACAACAATAAAAAACATAAGCAACAGATACTTGAGGAAGCTTCATGTTCAGATTATGATCTCAAAGCAATTCCTGGTAAGGCTATTTATTCTCAAAAAACCCAAACCCACGATTCCTCGTCTTCCACCCAAAACAACGTTAAACCCGAAAAACGTTTGAAATCCACATCCGGGTCGCACTCGGATATATTCCCTCCTACTGCTGTTGCTTCATATGGAATTCCCGCTGAGTCAACTCGTCCTGTACTCCTGGTTGACTCACAAGAAAATGGAATACGGCTAGTCCATGCTTTGATGGCATGTGCAGAAGCTGTCCAGCAAAACAATCTTAATCTCGCCGAAGCTTTGGTGAAACAAATTGGGTTCTTAGCGATTTCTCAAGCTGGGGCTATGAGAAAAGTGGCTACTTATTTTGCTGAAGCATTAGCTCGAAGGATTTATAGAATATATCCTCAAAACCCACTCGACCATTCTTTATCGGATGTTCTTCACATGCACTTTTACGAGACTTGCCCTTATCTGAAGTTCGCTCATTTCACAGCTAACCAAGCTATTCTCGAAGCCTTTGAAGGTAAAAAAAGTGTTCATGTTATCGATTTCTCGATGAACCAAGGCATGCAATGGCCTGCTTTGATGCAAGCTTTAGCGTTAAGAGCCGGTGGTCCACCGGCTTTTAGGTTAACTGGTATCGGTCCTCCCAGCCACGACAACTTAGATCACTTGCAAGAAGTTGGTTGGAAGTTGGCTCAGTTAGCTGAAACGATTCACGTAGAGTTTGAATACCGTGGGTTCGTGGCTAATTCTTTGGCTGATTTGGACGCTTCAATGCTTGATCTTAGACCGAGCGAAGTTGAAGCCGTGGCCGTTAACTCAGTTTTCGAGTTACATAAATTGTTGGCTCGGCCAGTTGCGATTGACAAAGTTTTATCTATGGTGAAACAAATGAAGCCTGAAATTGTTACTATTGTTGAGCAAGAAGCGAACCATAATGGTCCGATTTTCTTAGAGCGATTCACTGAGTCGTTACATTATTACTCGACGCTTTTTGACTCGTTGGAGGGGTCGGTGAGCAGTCAGGATAAGGTTATGTCGGAGGTGTATTTGGGGAAACAGATTTGTAATGTGGTGGCTTGTGAAGGAATGGGCCGACTTGAGAGGCACGAGACGTTGACTCAATGGAGAAATCGGTTGGGTTCCGCCGGGTTTGCACCGGTTCATTTAGGTTCTAATGCGTTCAAGCAGGCTAGTACGTTGTTGGCCTTGTTTGCTGGCGGAGAAGGGTATGGGGTGGAGGAGAATAATGGGTGTTTGATGCTGGGTTGGCATAATCGTCCGCTCATTGCAACTTCTGCTTGGAAACTCGCCAACAAAACAACTCCTGTTGCCCACTGAGTTTTTGACTCGATGAATTAAAGAATCAAATTCAGTTTGGTCCCTACCAAACCCTATCTCGGTTGCTGCCAATGTTCGATTCTGAGCTGGGTGCCTCTGCCTTGTGAGGTTGAGACCCACCACTCCAATCCTGTCTCCCCCACTCCCCCTGTTTTATTTTTCTAATTATTCAGTCTATTTTTTTATTTTAATTTTCAGCTACCCTCTGGATAGGTACTTTTCTTTTTTGGTTGGAAATCTTTTGTATTTTCAGGGTGAATCAGAAAATGGTCAATGTATTAATTTTATATATATAGCTATGGTGGAAATAAAAAAAAAAGAAAAAAATTTTCTCTAGTGTCTGCAGAATTGACATGGATGTGTTATGATTCCAGAGGGAAAAAAAAATGCAGAAGGGTGGTTGAAAACCCAACAGTTTCTACACTAAGCTAAGATTCCACTGTAAGCTCATATTCCACTGTCAATATACCAGCTTGCTGGCTGCAATAAGGCAGCACTGAAAACTTACCAAATCTGTGATACTGCTTTTGCCCATTGAATAAAAACATTGGCAACAACAATAAAAGCATTAGCAGACCTATTGAAGATGAAACTATTACAGTACAGGTAACATTATTTTATAGAATCCCTCTTTTTTTTCTGTCAGGAAAGCACAATCATAAGAACGTGAAAAAGGCTCACTTATTTCAACTTTTTTAATTATGGTATTAACTTTCTTGAAAAGGTTTTCACTTTCTCATGTTCTTTTTTTTTTCCTAGAACATCTTGGCCTCCTCACTGCTCATCTCTATTCATTAAAGCTTTTACCTTCCTTTTTCCTTTCTCCATTGAAAAAAATAAAATAAAAACCCAGACATGTCTTGTACTTCTTTTAGTTACCTTTGCACCTCTTTAATCTTTTTGATGACTCGGAAAACAATTGAAGGCTGCCAGCTAATGCATGCATATATTCTGATTATTTAAAATTAATATAATATATATATAGTTAGATGAATGAGTTGCCACCTGAGAAGATTAGAGGGTATTGTCTTGGACACCAGATCTTGTGTTTAAACTTATACAAGAGAAAATTTTGTTGTCTTCAACTGTAACTAATGAGAATGGTAGAAGGAAATTAGATTTTGATGTGATATATGTAGATGTGCAAGTTGAAAATTATGTCTAGAAATCTTATTTCCCTCCCCCCTGTAACTGTCAGGGTAATTGAATTCAGCTTAAATAATTAGCCTGATTTCTCAATAATGGGAGTGGCCAAGTAAATCCCAATGCTCCTTTGTTTTGTCCTGCCATTATGTCAACATCTAAATGGGATCTGTTGAGCACTAATTTGTCGGATCCCGAAAGAAGAAGTCACCATCTTTCATGGGGGGGTTTAGCCACTTATTCTCAAGGAACTTCCTTTTGGTGGATGCAAAGCGAAGTTCATGAGAATGAGATGAATGGAATTAATTCTCATAGTCCTCACTTTTGTGCAAGATTTTTTATTGTAAGCTTTTGTAAACATTTGCCTTTTCCAAACATGTAGAATACCAAAAATCCAATTGTATCCATACCTCATCTAATTTGTTTTTCTATATATGTATTAAGAGAAACAAAATTCAACTTGAATATCATATTGGTAAATAGTAAATACATATTCCTTTTGATTCAAACAAATATAATATATCTAGAATAATATTAAATTCATATACTTATCTGTGAGTATTTGTCTTCCTCTGTTTCTTGTCTTCTCCACCTTTTTTGGTGACAAAATGTTAGTAAAATGACACACATATGATCTAACCGATTATATAATTGACATTGTGAAATATGGGCAGAGGGTGCACAATAACTTATAGTAGGCAAAGCAAAGAGATGCCGTATCCCTCCCAGGACCGTGGCCCATTTTATAGGGCAGCTGATACATATATCAAATAAATTATTGCAAAAACAACAAGAGAAGTTGATTGCTCAGGATTTGTCAACCCAGAGGAGGCATTAAAATAGTATTACACAGACTAGTGGATGGGAGGATGGATGAAAGAGATGCCATCTATCTCATATTAGTCTTTAGGAATTGGACCAGCTTACATTACGTAGCTTAATTTAATTTGTACTAAATTATGTGAAATAATAATATTATGTTAATGTACAACAAAGCCATGGAATTCTCTATTTGACCCAAGTTGCCAAGTTGCATGAGGTTTGGGGATTCTGAGCTGACCCTACTGCTTCACTCATGTTTTGGAGATCACATCACATGCATTTCAACCCTTGCTTTTTAGTTCTCACTTGGCTTTTTTTTTCCCTTCTTTTCAGGTCATCTATAAGAAAAAAATCCGAAAGGAAAAAAAAAAAACTTTTTTTTTCCTTTTGCTCGAAGAAAGAACTTCGGTTTATTGACATTATTTTATTCTAGCTCTTGTATACGGATAGATGTGGTCCAAGGTCATTGCACTTTTACTAGCATAATATTAGGAAAGCCAAGTCAACGTACGATTCTTGATGAGGGTTTTTATTTTGTTTTATTTTTGTTTTAGAAGAGTAATTAGAGTGAGGTTGGGAATTGATGAAAAATCCTGTATCAAGACATCGAAAGTGTTATACGTACACCTCAACAGTCACATAACCAGCACTCTGGTTGCCACCTAAGCAAGCTTAATACTTATTATTGAACTAGCAATGTCATCATCTATAAGATATAAGAAATAGTACTATTATAATTAGTTAATAGTTATAACTAATAGTACTAACGCCACACTCCATTCTTTGTCTTCTTTGCTGACGCTTTATTTTCTCTCATTTTCCTCTCTATTACGTTTTTTGTTGATTTGAACGTCGAACTACTCCTCAAAATATTATGTCCGGCGTTTTTAAACTTTTTTCTTTATAACATATCACGTCCAGTGTCCTCAATCTCCAGCGAACTTCAACTATCGGATTAAAAATTACGTCAACAAAAAGGTTGCTAGGGAAAGCGAAACGCAGTATTTTGAACAGTAGCCACTTTGCGGAGGCTGTTCTTTCAAACATTCTATGGAATTTAGAGGCAGAGGCAGCCATTTTTAAGGCCAGTATCGCTCGTGGTTTCTAACAGTCGTGCATGTCGGCCGCTTCAATGTGACTACTTTGTAAATTTAAAGCGCTTGTTGCTCTGTCGTTCTTTGTCCTTTGCCATTTGCTTGACTAATTACCATTGTACTATACCATTTTCAACACGTTTTTATCATAAATACTTGACCCAAGAAAGTAGCGAAAGATCGATTTCTATGCGGACATAGTTTGGCCGCACCCGACCTTCACTGCCTCTTTGCCAGGCCTCTAGACAAAATGGTCGATAAATAGTCAAAGGACATCCCCCGTTACCATTATATCCAAATTAAATATTTTACTTATCGGATCGATAATTGTCTTAATTAATTTAATTGATTAAAATAGAAAGATAACATTAAAAGTTAAAATACGTAAAATCATGCATTTAGGTAATGTTTAATTTGATCATTAATTAGTTAAGTACTATTATAAGAACAAAGGTCCGAATTTAAAGTTCATCAAAAGAACAAAATTTAAAGGTATTCAAAGATTAAATGGTCTGGGGCCACGACCCCCGAAATATTTTGATAATATTATAATCTTTAAGTTGCCTCTTCTTATTTTGGTTGACTATTTGGACCCCTTTAATCATTTTGCTTGCTTCGTTCATGGGTCACTATGGGTGTGAATTTGGATTGGGTTTTCTTTTTTAAAAGTTAAGCTCAAGTTTAGATTTGTTCGTCCATTTACTTATTAATTTATTTTTTCATTAAAAAATCCCTCTTGAGTAATTTTAGGTTTTGTAAAGATTTTGGCGTTTAGGACAATATATTGATTATTTGTTGGCCAATATATATTTATTGTATGAATTTATTTTGGTTCATGTAAATGAAAAAAATAAAAAATAAAATTCAAAGATTTTAGAGAATACACGTGTGGGCAGGCTTCCATCCCACACGTGTACAAATTTATACCATAGTATTCCTAATTCCCTTAAGAGTTTTGTTTGATGGGCTTTTAGCCCAAATAGGATAACAACCATTGCAGGCTCGAGAGAATTTTCTTTTGGGTTCAAAAACCAGAGGGAGGCTTGAAAGATGGTAGCGTCCAAATTGTTCAGCCTGTATATTGTTTTTCTAGGCGAGGGCTGGTTCAGACGGTATTAAAGAAATACTGATGTAAGGTTAAAAGAGAGTTACAATGATTTGGGATTTTATTTATTTATTTGATTAATTATTTTTAAAATAATATCTAATAAATTTGAGATTACAAATTTTAAAATTTATAACTTTTTTTCTCTATCCTCGTGCAGCAATTTCTGTAGAAAAAATTTACATTCAGGTTAGTACCAAGTGAATGGTCCAACTAAGAATTGCAGTCATGATGGTGTGACATGACATGGGCTCCCACACCATCGTAGATCGGTTCGAGAGTAATTAGTTTTATACTTGGTTTGGAATCTAACGCATCCCTAATGGGATACAGTTATTATGTAATGAGCTGCAAATCACAGCTTTTAAATCCAAATAATAATGTGATGTGGTGTAATTCTCATCGATTATTCACTAATGTTTGAGGTATCAGTCCACCATCATCAGTTTTGTTAATTTTTTTTTATTTTTCTTTTGTTTATATTATGAATATAAATGATATATTAATATTCGTAATTTGAATAAAATTTAAATTTGATTTAATTATTATTTAATCAAATTTAAATTCGAATGATTCAATTTATAAATCGAATCAAATTTAAATATTTTTTTATTTGCTTTAAATGATTTACAAATTTAATTGAGTTTTTAATTTTAATATATTTTAATTATTTTAATTAATAAAATATTTCAAGCTCAATTTTGAATATAAATAATTAAGTTTTTATCGAATATAAAAATTAAATTTATTTTTATATATTAATTAAATTTAATCAAATAAAATTAAATAACTTAATTTTTATCTCAAATTGAGCTCGAATTAAATAAAAAAAATTTAATCAAATTTAAATCAAATTTCGAATCTTAAATTTCAAATTAAACTCAAATTAAAACTTAATATTATATCAATTTAATTTCTATTAATAACACTTCTAACTCGCATAATATTTAAAAAGGAGATGAATAAGATCTTTTCGCCATTTTGACTCTTGTTGCGAGTTAACAACTTTTAGTTTTTTTTTTTTATTTATATTTTATTTTTATTTAAAAATTGTAAAATAAGTTATTAATTTAATATAAAATAAATTAATTATTATATAATGAATTAATAAATAAATTTTATTTTTATTTTTATTATATAATAAATTAATTAATAATTTATTATTATATAATAAACTAATAAATAATTTTTATTTTTATTTAAATATCCCTATCTCATCATTATTTTTTTATTTAAATATATATATTTCATCATTTATTTTAATTTTATTATTACGATAATAAATCTCACTTCCGTTATTATTTTAAATATTGCTGCTCTTTTAAAAGGACCCTTAACAGACCTCGTAAATCGTAACCTCAAGCGTGATCCATTATTTGGAGCGATCCCAGATTCCCAGTTAGCCAACCAGTGAATGCTGATATTTTAGGAATGGAAATAAAAACGTGAAATGTATAAGAATTGGAAGTGTAAAAGTCAGTTTGCACATGGATATTAAAACCCTTCAACGTTTATCAACAAAGACGGAAAGAAAAGAAGAGCTTGAACTGTAAAAGATGCACCAAAGATATCAATCTCTAGTAGGGACCAGAAGATGGGAAAAAAACAATTGCAGGGTCAAGCTTTCAA